GCATGCTATTTTGCCCTGAGCGGTGATGATTTTACACTGTTTTCAATGGGGCTTGAATTATTGGACTGGACCCTTACCTGCCTAGTGCTTACCCTACATGCGTTACTTTTTACTTAGAGGGCAAATCTCTTTGTTTCGTTTCACCCATTAACCAATGCTAGAAAATGTGAGATTTTTTACCACTTTTGGCATTTGGAGATATCGGGTACCCTATGCACATTACATGTAGCCTAGGCCCTATGCTAGATTTGCATTGTCTTAAACTGAAAGCAGGGACTGAAATGGGCTGCTGCGCATGCATAGTGCAATATACCCCCAGAACTGTGGGGTCCGACATCCACCCCGCTTTTTGTGTACAAAAACGTGGTTGCCTGACTCCCTCCCCATAGACACGATGCAGTAAAATTGATTTCTAGATCAAGGGACCACACTATTTTCATCGTTTTGGATAGGGTTTGAATTGCCTGAATTCCTCATCAAAAGTTCCGTGAAAAAATGTGAAGTTTTCTGGGAGTTTTGATCTGCTAAAAACGGACATTATCTCAAGTTGCATTTTCGGGGCTTTGCAGTACGTCTACAAGAAACTAGCAGTTTTTGGGTCAGAAACCACCTTAGAATGATTGAGGTTTAGATCGTGAGTGTGAACGCATTTGACCGCCGAGTTAAAGTGCACCATGATTTTCCGAATGACACCTGCCGGGCTTGAGTGCGCGGCGGCAGGCAGTGTTGCATTAGAGTCCATCACAAGTCCCTGCAAGTCCATCACAAGTCATTCACAGTCTTCAGCCAGTTCACAAGCTGTTAAAATGAGCTGTGACAAAAGTATTCTTTTGTCATTGTTCACTTTGTTACTTATGACTGGCATCATGAAGGGACTAATGACTGGACTTGTGATGGGACTCGTCAAAGAGCTTATGATGGACTTGAATACAACACTGGCAGCCGGTCAACATAGCAGTCACAAGCAGTAGCCTCACACATGCCATCGTACACAGGCGGATACGTATTACCTTGGTGATTTTGTCTGTGGTGTCATACATGTAAGTTCATGGTTATCACTAAGCGCTGTGTTTTTACAGTTTTAAAGAAAAAGTTACAAGCATTGTTACATTTGGTGGCTCTTCTGACTTTGTTCCTCTAACCAAAAAATTGTACATTCAAACACTAATAGTGTGGTGGGGGATTCTTTTGAGCGACCGTTCAGCTATATGTACATGTACTTGGGAACTCCATACTTTACAAAATGGTTTTGTGGGGATTGAGGTTAAATTCCTTCATGTATGCCCAACCTTCTGTTATTTCTTTTATATCAATATTTGAGAAATTATAGACATAATTTTCATGTTGAAAGCAATATATTGTGCACTTACATGCAGAAGGTTTCTTGAGCTTGAAATTTTTGATTTTTTAATTATTTTGTTCATAATTGTATGTTGACTGGGGCAATAGCTAATTTGGAATACCCTTTCCCCTCAATTCCTCAGTGTAACACTGGTTCATTCTGTTAAACTTGCACTTTCTGACTTTCCAAAACGTCATCGCTAAGTATTCTGCTCCAGTGTTAACTTTGCTGTAGTTTAATATCAGAACCAATTACAATTGCTTTAGAGATCACTTTTCCAAGGGAGGCAACCGCATGTTGTCACAAGAAACAAAAAAAGAAGCTTTGCAGCACCTGCCAATCAAGAAATATGTTGCTTTGAATTTGTTTACCAAGTTGTTTACAGTGTCAATATTTTTGTAAACAAAATGAATTAAATATAACTTCTCACTGGAAACATAGCATTTGGTTACTTTTTGGACAAAACAGATGTGGATATTTTCTTGTCATGTTCAATACATATGTTATGAATTCAAACGAATCTTTTACAATTTATAATCAAACTGAAGATTAAAGGAGTTGCCATGGCAATGGTATAAAAAAATAAATGAGCCAACTTCGATGTTATTGTTACAGCTGTGAATGTCTTCCCTTGGATGTACCTATCAAAGAAAGACGAGAGGAAATGCAGTACGAAGTTATTAAATGTTTAAATGCTTGTTTACATGAAGCAACGAGCCTCTCTGGTACCACAATTAACCAGACTTCTCATTAACCCCTTGGCGCTGAGACGTGGATAGAGCCGCCGTAAAAATTGAGATCCTCAGCCGACTTTTCAGCTATTAATCTGGGCCCACGCTTGAGCGAACAGAAAGAAGGCAGACCCTGGCTCTTGTATATATGGTAATTGGTCTTTGTGCGTAGCCCAGAAATGAAAATACCGAATTTCCATCATAATCACCAGCTTCACAATAGTCCCCACTTTGAAAAGAGGCAATGGGAATGTGGAAGCTTGAGTAGAGCCGCATGCTACTGAACAATTAGCCTTTTCACCGTGTAATTCAAAGCGTGAAGAGCACGCAGGGCCACAAACCGAGAATCTGCGGTTTGGCAGGTGGCCTTCGTGGCCAAGCGAGGCTGGAATTCTTGGAGTCAGCTTTCGGGAAGAAATTCCCGTCGTCAAGGGGTTAAGAAATTGAACCGAAAAAGGGCTTTTTCACAAAATACAAATGAGTGTATCTCAGCAACCCCTTGACCAATTTTGTTCATTTTGGTCCAAGCGACTCAGAATTACATGACTGGTAAGAATGACTCACAATAAAGTGAAAGTACATGTATCTCCTTTACAAATTCTGTTTCTGACCCAACTCAAGATTTTACATATTAATTTATGGAAGAAGAGCCCAGGGCCCGGATTTATTGTAATTTGCTGTTTTTAAATATTCATATATATTCATATATTCATAAAAGGAAGAGCTCTTCTTGTTAAAAACTAATCTGATTTCAAAGAAATTAATGATTGCCAATTATGATGATCACATTCACTGGCTAAGAAGAACTAGTGTCTGGTCTTTGCCCATTTAGTTTTGTGAGTGTGTGTGTTAATTTTTGGGTTTTTTTATTGGTGGGTTGAATTTGTTAGTTTGTAGTATGTTTCGACACAATCACACAAAGATATCTACAAAGGAACCAAGAAAATATGGTACATTGACCTCACCTTGGAAAAATCTTCCCTCTTTTACGAACAATGGGCCACCTCTCTGAAAAAAACCTAGATTACTATAGGGAAGAGTTCCATATAAGGAATCCATTAATTATTCCCTACAGTGACCTATTACATGTAGCTGTCAAAAAGAAAGTAAAAACATGTTCAGAAAAGCTCATTTTAGGAGGGGAAAAGCCAAGTCGTTTACTTAGAAAAACTTAGAATTTTTCAGACCAGTCTCACAGTGTTTGTGAAGAGGGTGTCAAGCGGTGTCCTTATACGTGTATATTGAACTCTTTCCTTACTATGTTGTACTTGGCTCATAATGCATGTTCATGTACCTAATTCATAGGTTAAGCAACTCCATGTATTTGATCCCTGACCATGCTGAACCAAACAAGGTTATGCAGGATTTCAATGGTCCCTACGGGGTGAGGGTTAAAGCAAAAAAATACCCAAGCAGCACGGCCATGAAAATAATTATCCAAATCATAAAGAAGATGTGTTAAGTTGGAAGCATTTTCAGGCATTTGTGGAACTGAGAAGATTGAGCCAGTTCGGTATTCCAACAGCATGTGACCAAACTGAAGCGCGTCTGAGGTCATTCGGGAACAGTGCGTGACCAAACTGAAGCCCGTCCCAGGTCATTCAGGAACAGTGCGTGACCAAACTGAAGCGCATTCAGGAACATTGCGTGACCAAACTTAAGCGCATCCGAGGTCATTCGGGAACATTGCGTGACCAAACTTAAGTGCATCCGAGGTCA